TGGAGGTACATTTAACATGAAGCGAGGGTAGCTTGTAAAAGTCTCGCCAACGTCCAAAACGAGCTTCCGAAATATTTCTGGTGTTCTGAAACATATCAGGTCGAAGGAACACAGTATATAACCTGTTGAACCGATGAGTTAGTTGTAGTTTCCTTCCTGCTTAGTGAAGAAAAGGGGGCAAAGACTGAGAAGGAGGAAGAGAGACCTGACATCCCAAAGAAGGGGTGAAAAATGTGTCTTGACAAGGTTGTTTATCTCTGAAGAAGGCTTGTGAAGTCTAAAGTCATGCAATATGGGCAGTAATGAGGCAGAAAATTAGTAATACTGAATATTGCTTACACTCATATAGCGCTTTTCAAGGACACTCCACTCAAAGCGCTTTACAGGTAATGGGAACCCCCCTCCACCACTGCTAATGTGCAGCCCCACATGGATGATGCAACAGCAGCCATAGTGCACTAGTACACTCACCACACATCAGCTTTCAGAGGGAAGGAGAGCAGAGTGATGAAGGCAATTCATAGATGGTGCCTTTTTACAGTATGGTGTCCCCGTCACTCTACTGGGGCATTAGGACCCACACAGACCGCAGGGTGAGCATCCCCTACTGGCTCCACTAATACCTCTTCCAGCAGCAACCTTAGTTTTTCCTAGGAGGTCTCCCATCCAGGTACTGACCAGACTCACACCTGCTGAGCTTCAGTGATACAGCGGCCGCTGATGTTTTTCTGTGTCAACCCAGCCTTGTAGGAGAGGAGTATGGCTGTGTGGTATGGCAGGGTCAAACTGGATGTCCTTGATACACATACTCAGAGGAGGAGTGGTGATGAGTGCACCTCACAAAGAAGTAATGACTGCTATTCATCTGAAAAGGAGCTGCTGTTTTACTGTTTTAGTGTTCTACTGTTTTAAGTCCACATGTAAGAATAGCCACTAGGGGATGCTGTTGCTGGGTTTGTCCTGTTCTAATAAATTAAACATTTTGTTATTAAATTTTTTTTTAATTCATTTTTATGGGAGTTGTTAAACATCTCTATAAAAATAAAACAGTGTTTTAATATTGGGCGCATCAGAAAAACATTGCAAAAAATAATTGAGTATGTTGTTGCCCAATTTACTTAACAAGTCAAATATGACGGTAAAACAGCCATATAAAATTATTTGAATTTCAATTTTCACCTTTTTTAGTATCATATTTGTGATGTTAATGATCATGCATTCATACTTAGCTCTTTTGAGCTGTACCAATGTGAACAACATCAAGTTAAATGAAAAACATTATTTTTTTATTGCACTCAACTGCACAAACAGTATGTGGCTGTTGTTGAGTGAACATATAACATAAAGGCATAGTACAGTACATTTAGCAAATTTCTGTACAAAAAAATACTAAATACTTCCATCTTTGTTTTGTTTTTTTTCTTAGAACTGGGTTGTGAGCAAATTTGGCCGAGTTCTTCCTGTCCTTAATATGAAGAATCAAGGCAAAAACAAAATATCCTTTGTCTGTACTGCGTTCGTTCAGGTCCGAATTGTACAGTAACAAATCGAGCTAAAACTAAAATGGAGGAAACAAAAACATGGGCGTGCTGTCAGTTGGATCAGGAGTTCACATAATGTGTGAACAGGATTGTAGAAGAAATGTTTGCAAACAGAATTTAAAGACTAGTGCAATATTGTATTTGATTGATCCAATTGGAAAGGCAAATCTTAAGCAGCCAAAACACTGAAATTAAAAAATGTGCCAAATCTTTGGTTTTAAAATAAAATTTTGTTCTCGAATTTCAACTAGTTGTTTTATTAAAAAGTGGATACTTTGAAATGTAAAAAAAAATCTGAAAGAATATGAACATTTTCATCTCATTTTTAAGTTGCGTACTTATTATAAAATATAACATTTTATCAAATTTAGATGATGAAAATCTGCTCTCTGTTAAAAAATGCCTCATTTTATTGTACCTTAATTCAGTTCCACATAGTTAAATATGACCCTTCAAAGAACTGCCACAACATCAAGAAATTAGAGCAGGCAATTGATTTTGATAACTTCACCCCAGTCTCAAAACTGACTTGGGAATTGACAGGAGGAGATGATGACATCAGTAAGAAAAGGAGGGGGGAGTTTCCTCTTCCAAAGTCCCGTCCAAAGAAAATGATGAAGCCTGCTTCATTCAGTTCTGGCAAAGAGTTTGCTGACTCTGATTTGGAGGTTATCCGTAACTCTCAGGATCACAGGCTCTCAGGGAATGTAAATAACAAACAGGTGAAATCTCCTAAAGTAAACCAAGAGGCCAAACCTCCCTTAAAACCATGCTCGAAAGAAGAAAACTTCGTTGGTAAAAAGCATTCTGCAGCTTTGAAGGCCCAAAACAAATCCATGAACTTGTTTGACAGTGATGTGGATTCAGAGGATGAAATAAGGAAGTTGGTTGTGCAAGAGGATATTCGAAACGCAAGTCTGGTTGAAGAAGATGTGGATAACTTAGAGGTAGTTGAAGGTGACTTTGTTTTAAAACCTAACTTTCGTCAGTTACAGCATCCGGTGAAGGATGGAAACAAAGCAAAGGCTGTAAACACTTCTGGGCGATGTGACAGCGAACATGAGTATGATTCAGCAGACACTGATGAAATTCTTACCTCCTGCAAAACTGCTGCAAAGAGCCAAAAACATTTGGAGACATCCATTATCAAAACTGGGGTTCCAGATAGCTTATCGGTAACTGCCCAGAAGCATCCCCCATCCTCAAAAATTCCATCATCAAAAAGAACTAAAACAACCCAGTCTGACAATACAGTAACGTTTGATTTTCCTCCCAGTTCAACTGAATCTATCTCCAGTGACGAAGGATCAGACCAGAGCTGTGATTCTGAATACGAGTCCATGATGGCTAACTGTTGCCGATTTGAGCTGTCTTTGGCAGACCTGGAGAAGATTGCAAATGAGTCTTCAAGAGATGTGGAAGAAGAAATCGAGGATTGTCAGGAATCGGATGTTGAAGCGAAGGCTACAGGTGGATCAGATCTTCATATTAATTCTAAGAAAAAGACTCCAATAAAATCGTCAGCAAGGAGGGGCATCACCCCTGAAGATATTTTAGCATCTCTTTTGAATGAAAGCAGCAGTGAAGATGAATATGATGGTGATAAGAAGAAGAAGATGAAAAAGCAGAAATCTCCATTGAATCTGCCTGCTTTTAAAGGTACAAAGACTCTAGAAGAAGCAGGCATGGAATCTGGTGTCTGTCAAAAAAGAAAACAAGAAGAAGGCCATTTGGGAGCTGAGTCTTTAAAAAAGAAGAAAATTACCGAAACCCAGGAGGATAAATGGAAGGCTGCTACTTTAGAGGTGAAGACGACCAATTCCAAACCCCCGCCATTTAAGGGAGTCCAACATTTTCTACCCAAGAGTGAAAAAACAGACTCCACTGCTCTTGCTCAAAACATGGAAGAACGTGAAACTGAGGAATCGGACTTCGATTCTAGTGACTCCGATGGGGAAGACACCATAACAAAACCAAAAGCTTCTGCAAAGAAATTAAAGGGGGGCGAGTCCCCAGTTAGCAGCAAGGCTCAGCCAACTCCTTCTCGAGCCTGGGAGGGCAGTAGCAGCTCCTCAAGCTCCAGCACTAGTGCTCCTGGGGAAGAGAGCAGCGCAGAAGAAAACGACATGGGCAAGGCAAAAGCAAGACATTCACAAAATACGACTACAGAGCCGACACGGCGGTCATGCGAGAATTTAGCTTCATTAACCAATCCAATCCGAAGTACTGAGAAGGCAGACGTTGTGGTGTCTATAAAGGTAGACTCTAAAGCTTCTTGGTTCTCCAGTTCAGAGAATGCTCTGAAACAACAGCAGGACAACGAGAAGCGTCTGGCAGCTCTGCAGCAAAGGCAGAAAGAGGCAGAGCAACAGAAGAGGCTCATTCAAGGAGCTTTGTCTAAACTGGTAGGTACTTTTAATTTCTTGCAAGAATGCATTGGGTGGTATTTGAATTTAAGGTTTTTAGCAATAGTCTATGATGTTGTAGTGTGGTTAACAATAAAATGTAGGGCAGTATCGCTCCGTTTTGCATTTCAGCAATTTGTGCTGGTATTTTTAAGCCACTGGTAAATTGAGCTCACTGGCACAGGTTTTGATGCAAAACCTTTGCCTCAAAGCTGATTCTTGAAGCTTTTGAACATCCAGAAGTCAATGGGAGTCAGGTCAGGACAATATTGTAGGTGATCCAAACACAGGGTTTCTGTGTGTTCTTCTATGAAAAACAGTGATTTGACCTCTTCTGGAGTGGAGTTCACTTTTCCATAGCAATCTAAAAATTACAAAGTTCAGCAGCTTCCACAGAAGAATTTCAACCAGTAACTGAAGGATTGGGGACAAACTAAGCCTGTACCTGGGCAGCAGTACTTGAATTAGCAGCTAGAGGTCCCCAGTACTAACTTTTGGGACACACCTCATACAAGCAGAACCTCAAAAGTTTTAACTTTTCCTATACTTTCTTCTTTTCAAAGGACACTTCTGAAACTAGCAAGGGCAAGCACATTGTGTTCGAGTCAGAGGAAGAGAGTGATGAGGAAGCCAAAGAGACCACGTTGAGAAAGAGCCTTTTTGCGGAAAGAGAGGATTCACATGGAGGGAATTCCAGCGAAGAAGAAGATCCGGGGATTAAGACGAATTCTGACCCCACTGCAAAAGTCAAAGTACAGTACATAATTTGTGTAGGCTTCTATTACCTCTTACGACTCCAAAAATTGCCAGCTCCTAATAACGAGAACATTCAGTATGTTCCCTACCTGATGGTGGGGCTTCAAACAGTAGAAGCAAAAACTGTGATAAAGTTTTAATCAGGACTAAAATCAGGGTGAAGAAGCGCTAATAGCACACACAAAGTTATCCCCTTTGTGTTTAGAACAAACACTTTATTTGACTGTTTTAAGGTAACACATTTTTTATTTACAGGAATTTAAAAAACAAGTAGCAGGCAAGCTGTTTGAGAACAGTGAGGATGAGGCCAGCAGCGAAGATGACAATGATGACCGATTTCAGATCAAGCCTCAGTTTGAAGGCAAAGCCGGACAAAAGGTATTGCACAGTTCTCAGCCTTGGTGGCGTTACATATTCATGTTGAACATAAGCACTTAGTTGACGATTTTGGAAGAATGTGAGCAGAGTAGTATGTATTCAAGATAACCTTACTATATGTGTGTCAGTGGTTCTTCAGGTTTTCCACACATGTAGTGTTGGAAAAATGCCGATTGTCTCATGTGGAAATACAGTACAATATAGATCTTGAAGCTATTCAGTGTTTTCATCCTTTTTTGCGTTTGGTAAGCTGACATTCTGACTGTTTTATCCTGCAGCTCATGGCATTGCAGTCAAGATTCGGCACAGACGAGAGATTCCGTATGGACACGAGATTTCTTGAAAGCGATGAACAATCGGATGATTCAGGTCAGGAATTAATATTATTGCCGCAAAATATTTCTTAAGTTTGTGTTTAGTAGGATTTATTGGTGGTAGTTACAGACTAAAATGTACCGGGTTTTATTCCACAGGTATGTAATAACCTTTGTATTAGTGTGTTTGTATGTATTTGCAAGTTATGTTTTCTAATTAAAATTCTTCTGCATTTCTAATACACTTAAGTATGTGTTTCTGTGTGTATCTTCTTCTCAGAAGAGGCGAAGAGTGGTGAGGAAGATGAGCTTGAGGAGGAAAAGAGAAAGAATATGGAAATCCTGCAGAATCTTCTGAACATCAACATCCACACTCCTGAAACCGTCAAAGAAACTGCAAAAAAGAAAACCTTCAGGCAAGTATTTCAATCAACAAAAATTCTGAAACTGAGCATCTTAGATTCTCATACACAAATCAAAAGTAAATTTTGGTGTTAACTTGTCCGTATTTCTACGCAGTTACATATGCAGCGATGTATAATTTCTTTATATTTAATATGACATGCTTTTTTACGTCACTGTTTATGAGTTTTAAAAATAAATGACTTCCCCTTTTTCTTGGGACTTAAGAATATGGCAGCTTATGGTAAAATATGTTTAAGTAACCTTAAACATCAAGTTTAAGGAAATTCCGGGACTGACAGATCTTTAGAAATTGCGTTTTGTGTTCCAGACTATTTATTCAGACCTCATTTTGTCGTGAAACGAAGGTAGTGCTGATTGTTGCTCTCGGCACAGGCCTGCTCACAATTGCTTTAGCTACTGGCAGAGGTGTGTCGTACGTTTTGTTCTTAGTCTGCATCGCTTTTTGACGACCATTTTTCCCTTCTGCGTCCAGAGATGTTAACGCGCTGCACTACGATCCCACGAAAGAGGAGCACGCTGCTTTGGAAACAAAGGCGGAGAATCCCCAGAAAGAAAGGTACGGACAGGGGTTTCGGAATAGAGCTTTCAGTCAGTTACAGTCATTGGCTTTGCCTGATGACAGCACCTGTAGACTGGGAGTCGGAAGTACAGTATAATATGAAATGTAGGGGTGCTCTGAACTTGCACTTTTGCTTATTAGAAGTTTAATCATTGTTTCACGTTGTCTTCCTGACTTGCTGCAGCAAGGCCGCGAGGCGGAAGAAACGGGAAGAGGCGGAGAAGCTCCCCGAAGTATCCAAGGAGATTTATTACAAAGTGGCCGTGGATTTGAAGGAAGTGTTCGGCCCCCAGAAAGAAAAAGGAGAAGAAAAGCGAGACGTTGCGTGGGATAAAAAGGAGGATGAAACTACCGCTGTGGACAACTCGTCAGGCCACATCTTTAATTTCTCATCCAGCAGTGGTGCAGGGAAGGAAGAGTCTACAGGGTTCACATTTTCATTTTTTGGAGATGACGCAGCGAATGAACCCAGCGTGAAGGAAGGTAAGATGCATAGTGCACAGTTAACTCGTGAAACAGCTTGTCATCATCTGTAAATCTGAGTAAGATTTGGGATTTGCGCTCTTTCTTGGTGAATAATATGGCTGTTGTTGTAGCATTGCAGTTTCAGTTATGGGGTCTTCTGGTCTTTATGCTGACAGAGGTTTTAATTAATTTGGGAACAAGTACAGTTTAGTTCAGTGCTGAAAAGTAAATATTTTAGCTATGGAGTCGTCTTCCACCCAGTCCCATTTTGCTTTTTACTTTTCACCTTGGGAATAACATTTACTTGTTTGCACCTTACACAGTGTTGTCATTAGAGCCTACAGCCTTTAATTGAAGATGAAAGAGCCAAGAATTGAGATTCAACAGATCAAAGGATGGAGACCTTAGCATTCCTGTTCCCAAACCTTACATTTTCATAGCAACAGGATTAAGATGTGTTGAGATAAAAATTCTGAAATAAGATAATTTAATTTTGATATTGCCTGAAGTGGTACCACTTCACAGTTGAAATTAATACATTTTGTTCGCCCCTTGACATGAGAAGGATTAGCAGAGATTGCTTGTAGGCTACTTTTTTCCATTGCAGTAAACAGTGAAAGTAAAAATGAGTAGCAAATGCGCTGAGGCACTAAAGTGAATCAAACTATAGGTCTTTTAAGGTCATCTCCAATCTTTTACAGGCGATTATAAAATTGAGCTGTTGAAGCCTGCAAAGGTCCCCTGGCAAGAGGACCCACGATTCCAGGAGAGCAGCTCTGAGGAAGAAGACGAAGGAGAAACAGGAGAGAAGCCTGTTCCTGATGTCACAAAAGAGTATGACTTCATTCCTCGTCCTTTTTCTCTAAATTTTATTCACTTAACCTCCGCTTCTTTGCTGAATGGAAAAATAACTTGAAGGCGAAATGTATTTGTTGCTTTTCAGGGAGCCCTTTCCAGCAAAGAAGACCAATCTTTTCTTTTTCTTCAAAGATGATGAGAGATTGAAAGGTATGTGCAGCTATGTAGTTTCCTCTGCCGTATCCGTGAAACCATTAGACTCAATCTCTATTTAGTAACAGTTGGTCAAACAGCGGTCATCTGTTTAAACAATCCTGTATCTGTACATGAACAGTTTTTTTTACTTTTTTTCCCTGTTTAGAGGGTCCTAAAATGTTCTGCAGGTCTGTAAAGCTCGAGCAGGGAAGGGAGCAGTGGGAAGCAGACCGTGGCGCATTAATTGAGGTAAACGATCTCAACTCGCAGGCTTCCTCAGTCCTGTACCTAGGAGCTGACAAATGAAACTGAACTCGAAAGCTCAAATTCTCTGATTCTCTTCAAGCATTAACTCAACCTAAAACAAAAGTCAAAAAGACATTAGTCCCAGCTTGAAATTCTCAGCAGGAAGTTACTTGGTTGAAGAATTTCTGTTAAAAAACCTGCAATCAGGATAGTCTTTTCTTTGTGTTGAAGAGAAAATGGCACTGCATGTACCATCAACCCGAAGGTTTGCAGAAGGTACATCTGAACCTGCTCTCTCATCTCTGAACTGTTACCTGTAGAATAATTATTATATACCGTATTCATCACAATATTGAAATGCAGGATTATTTTACTAAAAAGGATGTGGATCATAGTCAGCACAGTATTTTTCACTTACTAGTCCTCTAAGGTTTTATTTTATTCTTGTATCATATGATCTGTTTTTCCTGGGAATTTCTTTTTTCTTAGATTGGGGGTGATGTGATTTATGGCATCTAAAAGTAATTAAAAGGCTGCAGAAAACTGCACCGGAAGCCATTTAAAAATTAAATTGAATCAGTATCTGCAGCTATTTGTCTTTATTATCATCTTTCCCCTTATGCACAAATGTATCAGAAGTGTAGTTCTGTCTTTTGTGTATCCATATAGAGTTTGGTAGAATTTTTTAATGGGGATTTTCAAAAGACTGTAAATAACTTGGATTTCGTACTCTTTATTCAGGTGACGTGATCACATAAAGGAAAAGGGCAAGCTCGTCATGCCATGCGTTCTTCAGTTGTTAGACATTGTTAATAGACCCGATTAGATCATGCTGTGTTAATATTGTTTGTGCATTTTTGTTTTTGAAGGAGTATAAGAAGAGACACAAAGATGCGAAGCGGATAGTCAAAGTCCAACAGGCAGCCCGAAGAAATCAAGGGGTCTTGTCTACTAAGTAACCCTCTCCTTGTTAGGCTTTGAATTTACTGAGTTACCAAGCTGTTTCTTGTGAAGTTCGTTGAAATAACAATTTACAGTTCTCAGGACTGTTAAAGTCAGATGGTGAAGTTTTTTTTTTTTACAAACTGATTCCATGTATTTTGCATATTCCCCTCTGAATTGGTTAAAAATATTGTAAATAAATGTTCTTTGAAAGTTTACTTTTGATTTTCAATTTGTGCTTTTGTTTCCACCAGGCTTGTAATATAACTAAACAATTTCATCATGAAGGTTGAACCCAGAGCCTTATATCTGTACAAAAATCTGTAATATTCGGTGTTCTGCCCTTATATTTTGAAAATTTAAACTAAATAAACTATTTTAAAAATAGTTTAGATTTTTTGCCGCTAGAGTGCGCTGTTTTCAAAGTATACCGTACGGCTCTGTTTTGTCGATCTTCAAAAACATTTTGCCTTAAAAGGGGGAGAGTGGGAGTACCTGATTTCTAAGACCACATTCTAATTGTTGACTTCTTTTGATACGGTTTATCACAATCAACAGTGCATTGAAGGGAACTGGGTTTATCTTCACAGAGATGTTGACAAAAGTAGCCTTTCTGAAATGTTTCCTATTGTTGCTGTCCTAAGCCTTCTATAATTTTAAATAATTTATTTTCTTTACCCGTTTGTGTGAAATGCCGTGGTGCTTTTGTTTTGGCACATACGTTTTATGACGTGGCCAGACATCACACTTGACATTTTCTGACTTGAACAATTCTGCATGATAAAATCTTTACTGAAAAAATGATCTAAAGGAAAAGACCTGTAAAACATGTTTTGCTTAATGTATAATGCTACCTCTTAATTGCACATGTAGTCTCTATACATGTGTATGCACAGTGTATTGTGTGGCATGTGTATAGGAATGTGGAAATACAGGTCTGTATCTTTAATGCAGTAATTGTGGACTAGTTAATTAGTTGAATGTAGTGTACACAGTGTCGCTTGGTTAATAAGTCTCTTTATGCATGTAAAAATGCTTGTGCATATTTGTAGGACAACATTTTTAGATATTTTTTAACTATAATGTTTCATTTAAACTGTTCAATCCAGATGCATTATTCATTCTAGTGATAACTTGATTCAGCGAATTAAACCTGTTCAGAATTTGAAATTCCATGCACTGCCTTCCTTTAAACAAATGTAACATCATCCTTATGTGTTTGTAAATCTTTCCTAATCTAAATAGATACTTGAAGATACTTGAAATACAGCAGATGATGGGGCCTTTAGCAGGGACCAGTGAACTTTACTGGAGCCCTTGAATAATGTGTGAATTTAAACAAGCTTTCTGCTTCGAGATTACATGCAGTTTGTTTAGCTGATGAGTCCTTTGTGATTACATGCTCTGTGTTATCTGTATCAGTGCTGACAACAACAGTCTAACAACAGATAGGTACTAATCCAGAAGGGGCTGAAGGACATTTTTAACATTAACCTGAAAATGTTAACAAATGTTCTGAGATGTACATACTGTAAACCAGAGGATAGACTATATACTAACCAGCAGTGGCAACAACTCTGTTTGATCTTTAAATCAAGTAACATTCTGTATATACGAACAGCTGTGTATGATACCTCTTAGATGTACCATTCCTCTACTTAATATTTACATTTCTCGCCTCAGTATAAATACCTGTGCATTGCTTGACTGAAATATTTTTCTTCAAATGGGCTTTCTGTGTTGCTCTAAAATGTTGCACTTAACTTTCCCTAGGGCTGTGTGATAGTTTTCTTTTAAAAAAATCAGTGCTGTATATGCATGTTGTTTTCTTTTTTTAGTGGAGAACCATAGAGCACATGAGATGTGTGACAAATTCGGCCCCAAACATCGACAGCACAATGTGAAAACAAAGGTAGAGAGAGCGTAAAGATTCATTTCAACACAATCTGTCCTGGATGTCTTCCTTTCATGGCGGTTGTTCTGAATAGCTGGACGCTGTGGTTTCCTATTTCATCCTCACTGACATCATTGCCATCTGACAGAGTGTCTAATGTCAGCAGCAGGGCAGAGACAGCTGCGCTCCGCAGAGGAGCAGTGTAATGCACATGCATGGTTGTCTGCCATCTTGCAGTGAGGTTGTACAGCAAATCAATGTCAACACACAAGTCCAGGGTATTACAATACCCACAATAATACTTCAGTCATAAAAAAAAATACATTGACAGGTAAAGATCATTTGCAGTTTAATTGCTATTTACAATAAGGGGATTGTATTCCAAATTATTTTAAGGAGTGAAAGTGGATTAAAGGTATTTTTACGTTTTTAGAACAGTTTAATAAAGCACTTTCCATGTCAAAACAAAGCTCTTTACAGCAAAATGTATACATTAAAACACATTCACCTTAGAATCTAAAAAAAAAACAAACTAAAAAGACATACACTAAATAGAACATAACAATAGTTATAAAAAGGATAGAGCCATTTGGATCATACAGCATTTTTAGTTAAAGCCAAACTAAGCAAGCGTAAATGAGATTTAAAAGTATATTTCTACTGACAGGACAGAAGAACATTCCACAGTCCAATCTCCCAGTGGTCCTCACTTCGTGTTGGGGACAGGCAAAAGAGAAGAATCTACAGAACACAGTTAGTGAGAAAGTGTATAAGGAGAAAGCGATTTGCTCATCTAATCATGAGCTACTCAAGGCCTTGAAAGAAAGTATCGATATTGCACATACAGTGCTTAGGATTCCACAAGAGACCAATGCAAGCAACCTTAAACAGGAATAATATGCTCAAAAGGATTTACTTAGAACATGGACAGCTCAGTGTGGAACATAAAGCAACTGGTAAAGAACATGCACCAGCAAGTAAGACAGCAGTAAAGCCAAATTTTCTTTTAAATAACATACGTGAGCACTTTGTTATTTTAGGTGCTTAAAGTAGTTTCGGTTTCTGTCTTTTAATACTTTAAAATTAGTACCGCATTTCTGTGATGTAAAAACATTTAGGTATTGAGGGGACAGAAGAGGAATCCAAAACACAAAGGTGTGAATGTGATATATATGTAGGCCTATATATTTTCAACAAGTCTTCCTTCCTGCGTCTGCGTTCTGGCTTACCCTGTGAAATGTAAAGTTTAAAGCTACTGTGTGCTGAGTTATTGACCTGAACCATGTACTTGCATAACTGGATTTCAATTTGTGCACTGCAATGGACTGGGGACATCCTTCATGACAGGCTCCAAAACAAAGCCATCAGAAATTAGCATACTAAATTAAATAACAGACAACATTAGCATGTTCATCATATGGGTAACAACAAACAAATCACAAGAAATACTAAAAATAATTAACACATCATTCAAAGTATTCCAGATGATTGTGTTTCATATATTAATATGGATTTGGCAAAGATTTACTATTAATTTATTATAGAGGGAACTTTAACAACCCATCATGTCTCAAAGTGCCTCTTAATCTGTTTTTTTTTAGTTAGAACCAGTTTTGCCAATCTTCCAGTTTTAAAGCATTATCTTGCAAGCCAAAGTAACTTTTCGAAAGCAAAAAAGACAACTCGATCAGACTCGATCACTCAATTTGAGATGAGTGATTGGAGATTGTTTTAGTTCGTTGTTTTACATTTTTCATTATCGTCATTACCCCCCACACACAGTTTACAGAATTCAGAATGAAAATAAAACACATTAGAACACATTCAAAAAGTAACAGTAAGATGGAGAGGAAAATAAACAGAATGCAAAAAGAAAAGGTCAGATTCCTATGTGGGTTTAAGTCAGTAGTCTAAAAGAAGGGATCAGTGATCTGCACAGGCCTGAGAGAATCACATGTGGCTGTTGAATTCAGCTTGCAGTTAGTCCGTTTTCTACTTGGTTACCTGTTACTAAGGACAGGGCCTTAGTATACCATGTGATTCAAATGACTTCTGTTAGAAACAGGATACAGCAGAGTAGCCCTGGATTGTAACCAGAACAATTTCCCATCCCCCTTCCCACAGAACCACACATTAAGCTGTCTTATGCCTTCTTGCAGAGGACATAGCACCTCTAGCATACTTTTATCTGTCTGATTAGCTCTCACAAGGGGAATTGCTTTCTGCCTGCCTCTCATAAACCGATGAAAACAGTATCTCCAGAGAGAAAAAGCCTGTGTTTACTGTCTAGACACAAAAGACGATTGCTACTGTAGCT